AAGATGACTGTGATGTCTCACTCCCTCCACTGTTGATGGCCTATAGGACAGCAGAGCATGAAGCCAATGGATACACTCCAGCAAAGTTGATGTTTGGTTGGGAACTTCGGTTGCCAGTGGATCTGTTAACAGGATGCCCACCTTATGAAGAGTTGCCTAAAAATGTGCAAGAGTTCGTGTTATCTGAAAGGATGGATGATATTCATCATCAAGTGCATTCAAACTTACAAACCTCTGCTGATTCCATGATGCTATGTTATGATAAGAAATCTACTAAAGTCAGCTTTGTACCAGGGTACAAGGTGTAGTTGTATAATCCCAGGAAGACCAAAGGGAAGTCTCCTAAGTTGTCTTCTTCATGGGAAGGCCCATATGACATAGTGGATCGTCTCTCAGACGTGACTTTCCAGATAAAATGTGGTCGGTGAGGTAAGCAAAAGGTGGTGTATGCCAATAGGCTTTGGTGTTATCACGGTCCAGGACATTTCAGTTGGGACAAAGTGAACAACAGAACAAATGACACTGCTGAAGACGTGTCACCTGAAAATGCCATTGTCGAAGAAGAAACTACTCGGTTTTGAGAAGGGAAACAGTAAAGCCCTTGATGAAGTTACTACCACTGATGTGACTGTTACAGATGATAGGACATTTCCGGATGGAGCAGATGAACCCCACATGAAGCAGAAGCCAACGAGACAGAGACCAGTACGGAAGAAGATACGTCCCGTAAAATTAAGAGACTTTGTTGAATTTTAATTTTGTGTTTGTAAATTCTGTACATTTAATTAAGTTATTGTTAATTGTTTATTGGTTTAATGTAAGTGACTATTGTTCGAGACAAACAATACTAAGGAAGGGGCAGTGTTATGACAGCGGTAGTCACGTGACGCTGGTAACACGTCATAATATTCTAGAAGGATCAGGGAACATCATGAATAATCCAGTATGTGCTAGGCACCCTCTATTCCTGTATATAAGTGTGCCTGATAACGTGAGACAAATTAATCGGGATTAGAATTGCAGACAGACAGAGACGGACAATTGAGTCAAGCGTGGTAGTGAAGTGCATGAATCGTTGTGAATTCTAGTGTGTGTTTAAGTGTATTGCAAAGTTGTATTGAGAGGGATTAAACTAGTTTTATTTAAGAAAGGACTTGTATCGCTGAAGTTTCTCGGAAATTAACAAACGAACACAGACGTAACAAATCAAATCAAACGTGTAATAGTTAAAATGTAGATTTACTGCCTTTAAATTCTCCTAAGGTGGTTTAACACCATCACCATTGGTAAGCAAAATCCAAAAACTAGTTAAATGAAAATACAACTCAAAATATGTAAATATATTCAAAGACATGCATCTACATTCCAGATCAGGTAATGTCTTACAAATGTAAAAATATAAAGATGCTACCAGAGACATAACTAGATGGTAAACATTTTAATGAATAACCATGAAAACACAATACAACTCCTTATGAATATCTTCATAACACAGATAAGTGCCAACATATCTTGGGAACTCTGATATATTAAGAAGCAAAAGCCACCTTGAAAAAAAATTAACAGGATGAGTGATATAATAGCAAACAGCAAGGAACCCTGACTGGGGAAAGCAAAAATTTATCCAGGTCAGAATGTGCACTCCCCATCAAAAGTAAATGGAGGAACCATAGTAAAGAAATAATAATTGAAGAGATGTAAAACACCACTAATAATATACAAGTTCTAGAAGTATCAACAAGATACAAACCTAAAAATGATGCTCAGGAACATCAAGAAAAACATTTCCATTGAAGGATTCAAATAACTAGTAACAGCTAGTCTCATTTTTAGAAAGAGTAAGAGCTTAACCCTATTGCTATGGGTCATGAGTCAAAGGCCATGTCATATTACATTTCTTGACTCACATTCAAAATTTTATTGAACTACTATTTTATGAATGTAGATTATAATTCAAAAGGTGAACAGTTCAACAGAAAGACTTTTTCTTGAGCTATGACACACTAAGAAGGTAACCGGATGTTCAGACACAGTGTTTATTAAAACAAAATGGCACTGAACTCTAGACAACTGAGAAGCTAATAGAAATAATTAATAAAACATACTGATAAAAAAACTGTAACTTAATTTTCCAAAAGTAACATTTTATCTGCAAGCTCCTGAAAACTAAAGAACAGGAACCAAGCATAATTCCAGCATTATACAAAGAAGTAGTTAATTCTATACCAGGACAGCTCAGTAAAAAGTTTCTTAAATATGGAGACGTGAAAATCCCATACAGTAAAATTGCCATCTAAAAAGAAATATGAGAAGGAAGTTCTCAGGACAGGTTACTCTTGGCAAAAAATACCTTAAATAGCAAGTAAGCAAATGGGGACTATTGCAATTAAGATAACTGACAAACTGACTCATGCACAAACTCAAGATTCTTAAAACTCATATTTTGACCTCAGAAAATACAATACAACCAGAAGAAGAAACTGTTGAATCTTAGAAACCTAAAGAAAGTAGGTTAAAACCTTTGTGTGGTATTTTGGTACAATGTTTGCTGACAGAAAAGTATTAAGCATCAATAAAGCAGCAATTTCCCAAAATGTTATACAGAAGAAACAAAATAATATAAACAAAAGAAAAACTTGCAAGCACAACTGTTCAAATTAACAACAGTCTTTATTTATACAATTAAAACGTGTTGAGGCTTTAACTAATACTGGCCAGCCCCTAAGTTTGTTGAATAGAGATATTTGGTTTCTCATGCAGAGAGAGGGTTTTTATATCTGCGTAGGTCAAAGAAAAGCATCAGAATAATGAAGATATCACTTGTTATGTCACACAACCTTCACACATCTGATTTAAAAGGATTTCACAAATTACATGTAGAACACCTGACTGAATATACCTAAATAAAGATATATTCTTAGTAGTTATGGAAGGGTGAAATTTGGTGATGAGAGAAATATTGAGAATGGTCTCAACTTTAGAAAATAAGAAAGAGAAAGCAGAGACCTAAGAGTAAGTTTTGCCACATCCTCAAAATCAAAAGAGGCCATACCTGATGACTAACAGGAATAAATTAAGAAATTTCTAACTTGAAGGGGCATCACACATCATAGAACTCAGAACATAAACATATGAATTCTTGATATTGAAGAATTACATGCAAAAAATAAATAAGTTTAAGAGTTGAGTGACAAATGGATTGAAACTGTATTATGTGTATATGTATGTTTTATTAAACAATATTAAGATTGGTATTTGTGTTTTAAGTGAACTTTATGCATACATTCAACACCCCAGAAACAAACAAAGGGTTGAAGGAAAGCTACTGAAGGATCTTGTGTTGTACCATTGTACTTTTCTAATGGATTTTCAGTGAATTAGGTTCACATTGAGATAAATTCTTGTACCTTTAGTACATTTATTAAGTGCCATTTGACTACTGCCTTTTAACATTCATTATACACTGAGAATTTAGTAGTAAGTGCACATTACTTTAAAATAAAATTTAATTCAAAAGTTTGAAATGTTCTGAACAAATCTAAATACTTACAAAATACAGTGGACTGAGGCAGAGTGCTGTATTTTAAGTCTGTGCTTTTTGATAGAAATGTTGTCATTACAGTTGTAGATATGGATGCTGGAAGAGAATTAATACAGATGCAAAAACTTTAGAAGCAAGTATATGAATCAAAAGCAGATATTGAAATCAGTATAAATCAAAAACATAAATAATTATATATGTATATGTCCATAAAATATAAAACTTTTATAGATTTAAGCTTAGAATACAAAGATATATTGTGTATAAATAAAAGCATGAGCCTATTTTGGTTTTAGCCAGTCATAAATGAAGTCACTGAAAGATGGTACAATATTCTATGCAGTTTTATATGTGCCTTCTAATTAGGCATGTATGCTCTTACTTTTTGATTCTCCGCTTGAAAAATTAATCCAATGGATATGAGGCATTCTGATGACTAAAATATAGAATATATTACCTATTAGCAAGACAAGGCATTCAATTTATTATAATAATACTCAGTTTTTGTCTGTCCTGAAAATATTCTTACTATCTAAATGTGCAATGCATGTGCACTTCATTTCAACAGATGTAAACGAAAGGCAAATGTAAATATAATTTAGTAGAAATTTTGTACAACAACATATTAAAAGCTTATCAATGTATTTAAAAAGGTCTAACGTTAGGTAATAGAATAACACTATGTGTATTTATAGATAGTATGAAGTAAGGAAAAGTTTAGCCTTAACTAAACTAAAGCAAAAAACATACACAAGTTATAGTGTTAACTTATCTTTTTATCAACTACAGGCTGTACTAAATAAAATCTTAGTTAATATTAGGTCTAAGACAAGTAGACTTATACATTTCAATGTCTAAAATTAGAATTCTTTTGTATTATTCTAGAAATCCTGAATTTAAAGAAGTACTGTTGTAATAAAGATACAAATCTGACTGCAAATCTCTTCTGGGTCTCTGCTAGTTTTACAAATAATTTTCAGTTTGTTAAGAAAATGTTAAACAAATCTGTGTACTTCTAATTTGAGTAATAAAAATACTAAAATGGCTAAATTTAAAAATACTGCAACTTACTAGCCCTCAGAAAACTACTATTATAACTTAAAACTCAAGGCACTTAAGTTCCAGTTGAGCTCAGCTAAATATGGTAGCTATAGTTATCAGTTAAATCCTGGATATAACACCTACTGTACCTCAATTTTTACTTTATCTAAAAAAAAGTAAAAAGCATGCCAGTTTTTAACAATTGCACTTTGGCATAGGTGTAAATGATGGTGCATAATAGATTAAAAGGTCTTAAAAACATTTAATAATAAAAATCCTCTAAATTACAGAGTTAACATCTGGCATTCAGTGTTTATGTGTATTATAAATAGACATTCTTCTTCATGAACGGTTTTTGTGTATATACAACTCTGAATTATTTTATTAACAATTAATATCCCTTGAATATAAGGAAAAATTAAGATAAAAACATCTAAAAAGGTGTTCTTAATGCAGTATTTTATCGTGTATGTAAATTTGTCTACCATGTATGCCATATCAATCATTGGTTAGAGTAAATATATAAAATTCCCCTTTAACCAATCATTAGTGCCATAGGTTGTCTCTTTTTCCAACTAGCTAAATACCTTGCCACCAATATGTACTGTATCAAAAGCAATAAAGAAAGCTGCTCGATAAATTCTGCCACAAGAAATGAAGAACTTCAACCTACAACCATAAGATCGATTTGTGAGTTTTGACATCACAACCATGTTTTCCATCATCCCTATCAACCTAACTCTACCTGTGTTATGGAAAAAGCTCAATGATGATACTATCCTTGAACTATGAACTACCCTAAATGGTAAATCCATTATGGAGCTACTGACACACTGCACCAACAGTACCTATTTCTAATCACAAAATGTTTCTTTTGAACAAAAAAATGGTCCAACCATGGATTATCCTTGATCTCTCCACAACCTTTCATAACCTATATATCAAATACTTCAATTCCAATCTCTTAAATTCTCCCATGCTTGAATCACGTCTGTGAAAAAAGATATGACCACACCTTTCTCATCTGGCTTCACCTCCTAGACACATAACGGGCTTTCCTTCAGCATCTCAATACTCTTGACCAAAACATGATGGTTACCATATGAACCAAAGAAAATGGTTTCCATACTTTTCTGGACACCCGCTTTCCTTGACATGAATATTACTTCAAAGCAATCTACAGGAAACTCACATTGGCAGATATATATGTATCATGTTTAACCCTCTATTCTCCCTTAGAAGAGATATCATACACTTTCTTTCCGGCCAAGCCATTAAAATCTGTGACAACAACCAGTTTCAAAAAGAAAATGAAACAACAAATACACTAATCAGCACAACACTGGAAAAACAGGAAACTTTAAGAAACCTTCTACATCAAAATTCATGAATTATCACTGTACTGTGATCAAGGCATGGATTTCAATCTCATGTGGACTCCTTTCCTCTAATGCAAACAAAGCAAGTATCTAACCATACATCCATGTACACATCTCAATCTCCAGTTAACTTCTGATAACATCACTCTTCTTATTATCTGAGACACATAACTTTCTACTCGAACCACTATCTGTCACACTTAAATCCTTCCTTGCTTCACCTCAACTTTATTTTAACATATCTTAGGATTTCACTCACACAGCTCTTAATTACAACCCCTTTCAACAATATTTCACCTAGCACAACTTAGCCAATTAAAACTAACAAAGATATGATCCAGCAGTTTGACACTTTGCCAAAAGGTTCTAAAGCAGGTGTAGTTCACAGAAGTCTCCAATAAAATATACGAAAAGGTTCAGATTAATAAGTAACTTATTTGATTTTTGATGATGACTATAGCAAGAAAAAAAGACAGATGAGAAATGCAGGAGTGTACCAAAAATATGAGTTCTCTGAACATCAAGAAATTCTCTACTTGTAATAAATTGTATCAGATAAAACTAAGAACAATGTATTTTTTGAAATAATAGTTTCAAATGTTCTGAGTGAATTGTGTTCTGATATTTTCACTATATAGTCCTAAGTGCCTAGAGAGTTATCAAGTAATTTTGATCAGTGTATATTTTAAGTTGTCACACAAAAATATACTAAGAATCATGATTTTTTGGAAATGGACTGCCTGTATTAAATATGTGGTACAATATTAAACTTTGACAAATTTTGATGTAAGATGTCCACTTGTCCATATTTGTTTAAAATCATTGGACTTTTAAAATTTCCAATATAATAGATAGATGTAAATTCCAATATAATCGAGATTTGACAAATGCATCTCATCTTTGAATTACTGGCATATATAACATTTTTACTTCTATTACAATTATTCCTTCATGTAAACTATGATATAATATTAGAAATCCTTAGTGAATTCGGTACAAATGTGCAAATAAAGCTCACCAGCCATCTTCAGTACCAAGCCACATTGTTGGTTGATTGTTGTAAATTAATTCTCTAGAGTCTTCTCTTGACAAGCAGTGTTCATTGCTAAGTTTCTTAGATGAATCATCATCTAATAAGTACCATATTAAATTAGTAAAGCTTAGTATTACCTTCAAAATAATCATAGTTTCAAACATAATCTTGGTTAATCAATTAATAAACTTCATATAGTTTAATATCTATCATTAAAATGTGAAGAACCTCCACAATCAAAAATGTATATCAAAGAAATTAGAATTATAAGTAAAACAAACAAATTTTATGTACCAAAACACATAGGTGCTATAATGTGTTGGTACATTGCATTTGCTCATGATCTATTGCTGAATAAAGCAGACTATTTTTTTTACCTTACTATCCTAATTTCTATTTATAATTGTTTATACATGTATTTTTGATTATCTCACACTCATGTACCCTAAAACAGTTCTTTGATATTAATACAAAGTTATGTTTTGTAGTTTTAATTTAACCTAATGAAATTATAAAGAGTTCAATCCAAATAACTAGTCAACGTAATCACACCAAATTGTAATGATTTCCCCTCTGCTGCAAATAACCATACATCACTCTAGTGCTATTTTAAAGATTTCTTTTATAAGTTTTCTAAATAAATCATACTGTCATATACAAACAAAACACTTTTATTAGTTATATGCAGTAATTATATTATAATTTCCTAAGCTTTCTTAAGTACTAGAAAATTTCACACATGTTTGTGATTATATTTTAGTACAACTGAACAAAAGTAATGAATATTCATCACTACATCATTTATGCTGGTATCCATTATGATGTGTAATACAATACACTTTTTGTACAAACCTGGGAAATCATCAGCATCATCATCTGTACTTGCTTCACTGGAAAAAAAATTATGAAGTTATATATATATATATATATAAGACTGATATATCTTATCCATGAAACAACGTATCTTATAACAGTTTGAAAATAATTTCTGGTCTTTATATTGTGAATTTTTTAATATCAACATTCACAGTCTTTTATCAGAACATTTCATTTAAATTATTAACAAAATTTTTATGTGTAGCATCATTTCCAGGATTTATTTATATTTAAGAAATTGGTACTATACAAAAATGCACAAATTTAATTACGTTTACTTTAATTAAGTTAGTTTATGATCACATTCACAAACACTATTGACCTAAAACTTCAATCTGAATATAACTGTTATTTTTAATTGTAAATAAATATTCAAGAAACAGTATTTTTAGGGATAAATGAGAAATATACATTTCTAGTTCCCAACTTCACAGTCAATTCTATATTAAACTACTTATCAATTTATGAAATTTAAGGTATAACCACAGTCTACGAGTGTTTATGACTATTTTGTATTGTTTGATATTGAGTTTTACATGTCTTTTGTCTTAGAATGAAACTTATATTAGTATAGAAATTATATTTTAAAAACTCAAAAGAAATGTTGAAACCAATATGTTTTACATCTTTAAAACTGATTTTATATAATGTTTTATTTCATTTTTCTGTTTAAATGTGTCATATTTCAGAGACAAATATATCAAAGATTACTATCGTTTTACAACACCGAAACAGGTGATTGGACAATTGATTAATAACTTATATCACAGAACTTGCAGCTAAATCCTAAAAGCAACAAAAATGCAGCATTGAATTTTAATTCCACCTTGTATATTGTTATCTAAGACAGTGGTTCCCAAACTCTTGTAGTCCGAAGCTCCGTTGATGTGAATAAAAAAGTTTGAGGCCCTCTAACCTATAACTTTAGCATGGAGATTGAAAAATAGTGCTGTAGTAAAAAATGATAACATCTCCATTTGACATAATGTATCATTTAATTAATTCAAAATAATTTTTATTGGCTTATTGTTTACTTAGAATTAAAATTAATTCATCTTCTTTGTTTTTGGCCTATTTTTGGCAGCCCCAGGGGGGAGGCATGGCTCCGACTTTGGGAAACACTGATCTAAGAGGTGAAATGCAATGTTTTACTACTATACAACAACAGCCTTCTTGCTGTATGAACACATTTGCTGTATTTCTAATGTTATTAAGGATTAACTACACGTACTGGTGCCTAAATGTATACTTTTTTAATGTAATTTAGTTAGCTCTTATGAAACTTATTCTGACAAAATCCATTCATAAATATTCATGCTTAAAGGATGAGTATCACAGTTTGCATTTTTTAGGTTTAAATCTAAATTTTGATTTTAAGATGACTGTTTATATTACAGTTATCCATCAATCAATATTACAAAACAAATCAAACTATTTTTCACTGACAGACTAACATACATTCATATAAGACCACAAATACAAGTTCTCATAAAAATAAGAAACATAAGTTTTTAGGGTGTTCATCAATACTCACACGGAATTGGCTGCAGGAATTGAAGTTATACAGGTAATCCTAGCATTGCAAATGCCACTACAAGAAGTTAATGTTGGTTCTGGCTGTAGACTTATCACACAAACTTGACCAGTATAACCATCACTATTACATACCCAAATGTCTTTATGGCCTAGCTGATTTAAACCTAACACTGATGCTGCACAAGTAAACTGAAAAGAAAAAAAGAAAACTGTAAGTAAAAAAATGATTGATAAATATTTGAATAAGTTTTAGGAAATATTTTAAAATAATGTCAACTGCGACATGCATGTTAAAAAAATTAAAATTCTTCTACTTTTGTAAAACCTTAAGTTTCATTATAGCATGCCTATGAAATGGCATGAAACTATCTCAAACAGTCATCATGATCGCAGACAGAAGATTGAAATTCCATAATTAGGAACAAACCCAATCCTTCTTGCTTTGAGATCATAGGCTAACCATCAAAGTTACTTAGCTAGTCCTAAATCAATGCAGTGAAACATGTCTTTTGTAAGAAATAAGAACCAGTGATCTCAATTCATTAATTTCCAAGTTTAATAATATCGATTATGATCTCTTTTCCTTTTAAGATCAAAAGAGAGCAGAAGTCCAGATGATTTTAACTCAAAATCCTCTAGGAAGGTTCTTAATAACATAGGGCCATCATCTAATTGTAGAAATTGTTTCTCATTCATAAATTTTCTAACAAAACCAACTGAAGCAATTAGCAACAATAAAGAAACATTTCTACCCCAAAACAAACTCGAAACTTATTTTCAGAAAAACTTCTAATATTTTGGCATAGTGAAGGTTACTCTTTTAATATGTAATAATGTTTTTACTCTTAAGAGAAATAGTTGTGGATATAACAGTAAACAGCTTACAGCTCTACTGATGAAGTCTTTGAACCTTAAATTATATACACATATGTGTTTTTATTCATAAGAAGAACTTTCATTATGTTATACTTTACTTTTCTAGTTCTAATTCCCGAGTGTTTGGAAGTACCTAATGAAGCTAAGCTCTCCTGTCCAAAGAGAGTTTATTGGTTGTATAACCAAAATATATTACTTTGTTTTTGTGATGTTATGTGATTTGCATGTTTTTTTTCTTTCTCACCCCATAAGAAATAACTATATAATCTAAAATAGGTATAAATTACCTGGAGTCCTGCTCGGGTTTTGTGAATTGGAACTGTGTAGAGAAAGTCTGGTGGTGGTCGCTTATCAGTGGAGTGTGCTGAAAAAGAAAAGAAAAAACAATGGAAAATAAGAAAATGGTTACTTCTTTTCAACTTTATCTACTCTGTTATTTCAAAAGCCATAATAAAATGCACTAAAAATTAATTTACATCATATTATTTACATAAACCTTTCTCATTTTCTGTCATATTTGTTTATACTTGTCAAATTGCAAATAATAATAATACCAATATACTAATACCAAACTTTACTTAGAAACGTTGGTTAGGTGGCAAAATATAATAAAGTGTTTATAATTTCCTTTTTCTTCTTTACGTCAAAAAAGAATGCATCATCACCTAGCTTTTGTTTAACTTCGTTGAATGCTGCTTCCCATGATGACCTTTTTTCTGGGGTTGGATAGGTAATGGTAATTGTATCTTCGCCTTCCCTGAAAACACAACAATTAATAAATAGAATCAGAAATATAATATAAGAAATAATATAAAAACATTGATAAAACATTAAAATTATTAATGATTTTAATTACTTATATCTAATTACATCGAATGACATTAATAATTAAAAGCATAACAAACTGGAACTTGGAGTTGGAAGAAGATATGATGTCTTTTACTAAAACTGAAGCCCCCCAGTGGCACAGCGGTAAGTCTGCGGACTTACAACGCTAGAAACAGGGTTTCGATACCCTTGGTGGGCAGAGCACAGATAGCCCATTGTATAGCTTTGTGCACAACTACAAACAAAGGAAAAGTGAAATTTGAAAACTTGAAGGCGATTAAAATATGACATTTTATAGATAAAACAAAACGCTGAAAAAATAAAACAATGCATGGGGACAATATGAATATTATATTCGAAATGGTTAATAAAACCCCGAAAGTTTTGAACAAACAAAGACGAACTTTACGTCCAGCTATGTAATCCCTGTATCATATTTATATATTTTCTTTGATATATCGTCTATGTCTAATTATGTTGAAGTTGTTACCAACAGGTGGACAACATTTTATTAATTACAGCTTTATCATTTGAAAGGTAATATCAAATATTTCACTAGTGACATTATATATTCGAGTACTAAAATTAAAATATAAAAAGAATATGATTAAGTCAATTGAAAAATAATTAATTTAATGTATTTTTCTTTTATCATGGTGAAAACTGAAAACCAATATATGTAATTATATAGGCCAGGTATATGCAAATACTGTTATTATTGTTTGTAGTTAAGCGCAAAGCTATACCACGAGTTATCTTAGCTCTGCTCACACGGGAATCGAAACCCTCTTTCCTGCATTGTAAGTCCGCAGACATATCGCTGTGCCACTGGGGGGCTACTGTTATTAATATGATTATTCAGATCTAAGCATTTTCTTGATTATGTAATGATAGCATATGAGGTTCATAATACACACTAAGAAAATAAAACTAAAGAAAAACTTTTTGTGAAAAACTAACTTAAAAATTCTAATGTATGTAAAAAGGAAAATTAAACAATAAAGAACCCCGGAACGTTATATTTGTATATTTTGACATAATTTCAGCACTTATTGAAATAACGAAAAGCACGACAGTCACTTAAAAAAAATATACAATAAGTTGCATAATATATTGAAGGAAGCATTTCACGTACGCAAGTAAAAACAAAATTTATATCACAAATGCATTTAATTGCATTTTGTATTCAAAGCGAATCCATTAGAAAAAAATATAACGAATGTTTGTCCTAATACATGAAAATTTGTTAGATAATATAACTTAACAAGAATAATTTTGTTGGAAGGAAAAAACGTAATGAAAGAAAAGTGCTAGTGTTGACCTTTGAGTTCCACCTGATTGTATATTATAACACATTTGTTAAAATATATATATCGAATTTACTACAAATATATTTTTGCTTATCATGCGATTAGTTTCATTAAAAAAAACAAGACATTGAAACATCGAATTGTTACGTATTGGTCTTATTATCACCAATGAAATGGTCTTTTTATCTGACCTTTCATGTTGAGCATAATTAGTATCATTTCTGGATTAAGTCCGACAACTGTCTTATTTTTTTTTAAATTTATCTATAGACATTTTAAATTAATTGCTTTAAACATTGAAGTATCCAAATAAACATTTAGGCGCATACATACCACAACTCAAAACTAACCAAATGCATTAAAATCAATTATAATAATGAGTACTCATAACATAGATGTTATTAAGATGCCAGGAAACATCGCATGGACTTTTATCGATGCGCTTCACTGCAATCAACGTTAACATTATCTAGAATTGCGTGACAGTTCCGAATGGCTGCTACGTTCGTTTCTACAGATTGGTTCACAATCTGACACGTTTTATCAAATATATTTAAACAGTCACATTTAAAATCCCAGGAAATCAAAGACGAAGAATTTTAACTTGGTGGCAGATATTGCAATTTTCGTAGTATAACTGCTTCAAACTATTCTGATATATCTAATTTCAGCAGTCAAAAACGACGATTAACGAGTATGAAGTTTACTTCACGTTAGTTTCTTAAGTTTAAGGGACCTTGTATAACATGCGAAAAACTGAGTGGCATGTCTTCTTGGAATGTTAACTAAACATGTCACTAAATAAATATACTGAAAACAGAATCACATGTATACATTTCAAGAAAGGGAATGACACTTATTAAAGGTAAATATTGCAAGATTTAGATACTAATAGAACTTATATATTAATATCAATTTATCAGTTGTATTCAAAATCCGCCAAACAGTACTTGAGTTACATCTTGAGCTGGAGACAGACGAAGACAAGCAGCTGACGCATTAAATTGAATGAATAACCTCTAGAACTCTCTTACCAAGCTTTGTGATAAATGTCTGCATAACTTTCTGGAAAACAGATCATAATTATTTAGTCCAACGCGGAAACGCGAGTGTATGTAGTTATTTATGCCTTATGCCAGCTTTGTTAGATCATATGACACTTCAAAAATATTTATTTTGTTCCCGTGATGTAATGTTATCTTGAAGAAGGGATATTTTTCACACGAGCCCAACAACTAACGTTGAATGCCTATCGGTGTGTTTGTGGGTGCGTACGTATATATCTATGTGTGCATGTTTAGACATTGATATTGTTACGTCTCCGTTTGTTAATTAACTTTCCGTAACTTCGTTCCGACGAAACTTTAACGACACAAGTCTTTACTTAATAAAACTGGTTTATTCTTTCCGAATATAACTCTGCGATACACTTAATCTCAATACTCGCGCTAGAACAACACTGTAACGAACGAACGTTAACTTCAACAATACCGTGTGACTGCAGTTCAATTACTCACTCTCTACACACACATTACATTCCCCTCTTTTATATACCAGCCTACCCTATCTAGCAATTACTAG